GTTTGCATGCCTGCTGACACAACATCCATTCTGCAGCCCATGGAAAAAGGAGTCATTTTGACTTTCAAGTCTTAGTATTAAAGAAATACATTTCATAAGACTATAGCTGCCACGTAGTGATTCCTTTGATGGATCTGGGCAAAGTAAATTGAAAACCTTCTGGAACAGATTCACCATTCTAGATGCCATTAAAAAAACTTGTGATTCATGAGAAGAGGTTCAGATATCAACATGAACAGGAGTTTGGAAGAAGTGGATTCTGACCTTCATGGAGGACTTTGAGGGGTTCAAGCCTTCAGTGGAGGAAGTAAGTGCAGGTCTGGTGGAAATAACAAGCGAAATAGAATGAGAAGTGGAGCCTGAAGATGGGACTGAATTACTGCAATCTCATGACAAAACATGAATGGATGAAGAGTTGCTCCTAACAGATGAGCAAAGAAAGTGGTTTCTTGACATGGAAACTACTCCTGGTGAAGATGCTGTGAAGACTGTTGAGATGACACAAAGGATTTAGAATATGACATAAACTTAGTTGATAAGTTTATTACATAAACTTAGAGTTTGAGAGGACTGACTCCAATTTGGAAAGAAGTTCTGTTATGGGTAGAATGCTATCAAACAGCATCGTGTGCTACAGAGAAATTGTTTGTGAAAGGGAGAATTGATCAATGTGGCAAGCTTCATCATTGTCTTATTTTAAGAAATTGCCACAGCCACCCCAGCCTTCAGCAACCGCCACCCTGATTGTCAGCAGCATTCAACATTGAAGCCCTCCAACCAGCAAAAACATTACGACTCACTGAAAGCTCAGATGATGGTTAGCATTTTGTAGCGAGAAATTATTTTTTAATGAAGGTATGTACATTGTTTTTTAGACATAATGCTATTGCACACTTAGGCTACAGTATAGTGTAAACAAACATTTTATATGCATTGGGAAGCCAAAATATTCATTTGATTTGCTTTATTGCAATATTCCGTTTATTGCAGTGGTCTGAAACTGAACCAGCAAAATCTCTAAGGTATGTCTGTATGTCATGATAAATTTGCCCACTTATCTGTTTAATTTATGTTTCCGCCTAGAAGACAGAAAGCCTTGTGTGTAAAACATTATTCTAGACCCTGGGAATAAAGCAGTGAACCAAAATTTAAAATATGTCCCTGCCTGCCTAAGGCTTAATTTTAGTGGAAAGACACTGAAAATAAACAAATGAATGAGCAGACCTGCTGTATCATACATCACATTCTTCCATGGTCTATCATCTCATAAGTCATTTAATGAGAAAAGGAATGCAGAAAAACAAAAGAGGTAAGGGAATAAAGAACAGTGTGGGAAAGGTAGGGTCTCTTGTGTTAAGTAGGATGCTGAGGGAGGATTTCACTGCTGGTGCTTGAAAAGACACAAATGAAGTGAAGGGGCAAGCCATGCAGGTATCTGGAGGATACCTGGCAGGAAGAGTAGTATTAGGACATTTACTGAAATGGAGAAGTACTTGGAGAAAACCAAGTAGCGGGAGACAAGAATCAAGATTTCAGTTGGGCCATTCAAAAGTAGAGACGCCTACCCAGTAGGGGTGATATTAAAAAGTATCAACAGATGTTCCACAGACACTGGCCAATCAGAAAGGATTTTCCACTATTCAGAGCTTATGGCGCTTAGAAACCAATGGTAACACCCTAGTGACACCAGTGAGTGTCAGCTCTGCCTATGGGATGTCCAAGTGGAGACATGTGATTCTGGAGTTTAGGAGAGGGTCAGGGCTAGAGATGAGTAGTTTAAGGCCATGGGATTGATGAGACCAAGTGAGAGGGTGTAGACATTTACAAGTGAAAAGGTTGAGGATTGAGAAGAACAGCCTGCAAAGGTGAGAAGTGACCATTGAGGTAAAGGAAAACAAAGAGGGGGTGATGTCCTAGGCACCAAAGGAAGAATGTATTTCAAGGAGAGAGCAATCTATGGTGACAAATGCTGCTGCAGGGTTAAGAAGAGCACTGAGGACCGATCATCGGATTGGGAATGTGAAGGTTATTGGCTTTGACAAGGACAGTTTTAGTGGAGTTGCCAGGATAGAAGCCTGCTTGGAATGTGTTCAAGAGATGACTGGAGCCAGAAAGTCTAATGAACTCTTTGCCGATGGCGTGCTGTAAAGGGGAGCAGAGAAATGGGGCTGGAGTGGGAGAAGGATGTGGGGGCAGCCAAGATTTGTTCACTATTTGTTTCAGTTGAGAAAAATTATGGTGTTTGCTTACTGATGGAAATGATCTGGCATGGGAGGGTATTGACAAGAAGCTACTGCAGAGTGAATCTTAGAGAAGGTGAAAGGAGGGGTGCCTGGGTGGCTCAGTTGGTTAAGCCTCTGCCTTTGGCTCCGGTCATGATCCCAGGGTCCTGGGATCGAGCCCTGCATCAGGCTCCCTGCTCAGTTGGGAGTCTGCTTCATCCTCTCCCTGTCTCTCTGCCGGCCATTCTGCCTACTTGTGTTTTCTCTCTGTCTCTGTGAAAGAAAGAGAGAGAGAGAGAAAGAGAGAAAGAGAGAAAGAGAAAGAAAGAAAGAAAGAAAGAAAGAAAGAAAGAAAGAAAGAAAGAAAGAAAGAAAGAAAGAAAGAAAGAAAGAGAAAGAAAGAAAGGTGAAAGGAACTGAATAGACTGCAGAATAGAACATAGATAGGGACCTAGTTCATCTTTGCACCAGGGAAGTCAGAGTATGTAGGCACAGATGCGGGGTTGGTAGAGTTGGTGGGGGAGAATGTACAAGTTCTCTTCTTATTGTTTCAACTTGCTAAGTGAAATACAAAGCAAGAGCATGGTATTTGGAAGGAGCTACTCCAAGATGCTCTAAGTGTGTCTCTCTGATAAGTAGAATTATGGGCATTTTAAATTATCTTCTTTTGACTTTTGTAGTTTTTGTTTCTCTCTATCAAATGTGTAATATTATATATTTTTTCTTAGTAATAGGTGTCTTTTCCCAGCACACTCCTTTTCTGCTGCTCCTAAAGGTAATACCGACCAGCCTGCCACTTACCAGTTGTATGTCCTTGAACTAGTTACTTACATTTCTTTGTCCTAATTTCTTTATTAGTAAATGGGGATGATAATGTCTGTGCTATTTAAACTGCTGGGTTGGAGGAGTATTAAATGAGAAAATGTGTGCAAAAATAATTTTAAAAGAATCAGCATGGATATAAAATGTTCTTATTGTGGTTATTTCTGGTCTTGGTAGGAAAGTCTGAAGCAGGCACGGAATCTAAGAATAGGCTGGAATCATCAATCCACCTCTTACAAGCTAAGTCCTAAGAGCAAAAACTACTTTTCTGACTCCAACAGTGCTGCGTCCTTTTCTCAAGTATCTAATTAAGATTAAAAGCTTTGTGCTCAACTCTAGAAAACAAAATATGGAGCATGTTTCCTTTGCTGTTGCATTAAGTTAACTTTATTATTTGACACTCTGGTTAACATGTTTCCTACTGAGCTAGGTTTTGCTTTTTGGCTTCAGATACATTAATTATGACATTTACCAAAATTTTTGCATTTGTATTCAAAACCACCCAGAGAATATATAGCCATGATTATTCTTTTGTTATTTTTAAAATTACTGTGATCGCATTGTTAGATGTGCTTCAGCACATGGGCTCTGCCGGCTTGTCATCATTAGACACATTCATAGAAATCTATAAATGAAAAAAAATAACCAGATGAAGATAAAACCACTTATTTAAGACACTTCGTATGAATTAAGTAATGATAGTGGAGTCACATAACTCTTCTGCGAGTACAATTCTGAACTGCTTTTGTGTTTCTTGGCATTTGAATATTTCATTGTCAGCCTCAAAGATTATAAAATGGAAAGACAAGGACTGTGTTTTTGTTGTTGTACAATGTGTACACTATTGAAGATAAATGCTCATTAATCTTTGCTTTCAACTTATTTATATCATCTCCTTTTTTATTGTAAGACTGTATAACCCCAGCATTAAAGAGCATTTGGAAAAATGAGAAAAACACCATCATCTCATCATCTAAATATAACTATTTTCCCTTTTGTGTATTCTTGGTGCCTCTCTGTTCTCTTACATACAGAGCTTTGCATGGTTGCAATTGTACAATGTATACAATTTTGAGAAAGACTTTTTAGAGTTGCATTTAAAAGGGGGTGTTATTTGGGTACAGAAAAATTGCTCAAGTTATGTTTCTACCTTTTGTTAACACTAGATTGTGTTAGAGAAACTGTGAGATCAGAAGACCTTACAGGGAGGAAAACCCTCTTGTGGGAGGCAGGAGCACAAACTGATGTGGTTATGGCTGATGTCTTCTCAGGTGGTCCTTAATTAAAATTTTGAATATTTTTTGGCTTTGATTTTGATGAAAATCTTACGATTTATACTATCTCAAAACAATTTTCAACAATGAAATGTATAAAAAAAACAATGAAATGTATTTCTCAATTGCCATCTCTAATTTCACATACTTTCGAGTATCAAGATTATGGTAGGTTGATTGCAAATGTGGCCCCAAATTTTCATCTCTCCTTGTATCCATACTCTTGCAACATGACTTTGCAGCTATTCCCTGGAATCTGGGTGGGCTTCTATTATGCTTTGCCCAGTGGAATGCAGCAGAAGGGATGGAATGTCAGCTCTGAGTTTAGGACTCAGAGACTGTGTGCCTATACACACTAGCCTGGGCTAGCCTGCTGAGGTCTAAGAGACCATGCATGTAGATTGGGGCCAAGGCAGCCCAATGGACGCTCAGCCCAATCCAACCACAGCTGACCACAGATGGGTGAATCCAGTCAAGCTAAGCTGAGCCAGCCCAGCTGAGCAGAACCACCCATCTGAGAAATCATCCATGGCTGTTGCTATTTTAAGCCACTAAGTTGTGGGTGATTTATTGTACAGCATTAGTTTGGTAATATGTAACCGATAAAAAAGTTCTATCACACTTAGACATTTTGGACAATTCTAATTTTTCCCCTTGGGTTTCTCTGGTAACATTAAGTTGCAGAATTGGAGTGGAAGGAACATGCCTTGCTCCCCATTGCCATCACCCATCTTCCACTAAAGGCCAAAGATTTGTCAAGCCTAGAGATTGACTGAAAAGTACTTCAACTCGCCATTGAATGCTTGAGCACAAACAATCTACCCAAGGGCTTGCGTGCTTTCTTCAATGAGGTGAATGTGAGGTAAGACTGCCTTTATTTTCTATTTTCTCTTTTTTATCCAATCTATCAAGCCTACAATCTCTTCTCAACAGATTTTCAAGTGAGCAGGAAACTAGAAAAGATAAATAAAAGTTTGAGTAGTATTGCTACAGGAGAAATGGTCTGTATGGCTGCAAGGTAACATCTAATTAACCTCGGATGCAGGCGAGGCCCTGATAATAGAAGTGCCCAATTCACAAGGAACTAACAAACCGCCTGAAATTCAAGCAATTCACCTTTCTGTAGGGGGAGGTTCTGCTGCTGTTGTTATTTATTTTCCTTCTAATTTTAATTGGTTTGGGATATATATATATGCACCTTTTTTCCCCCAAGTGTTTCTCAGTGGAATGTAGGTACAAGAAATTCCTCATGGGAAATGATGTTGTTGCATGGGCTTGGGCATCTGGGAGGTCAAGTGAGAGTCCAGAGAAAGCAACGACCCTTTGGCAAACAACAAGAATAGCAGAGCCAGTGTTGTCTGCTATGTGGCATTGAGTTACTGATTTCTTCTTAATATGCCCTGATGAGGAGGTGGATTAAGTTATTTGAGGACAAGGAAGAATGGACTCGATCAGCTCTTCTTTCATTTTGAAACATTTATTTTATATGTTTCATTGTAAAAACATGCACAATTATTTTTAGAAGATAGCAAAACACAGAAAAAAAATGGAAGGAAGAAAAGTAGACCCTCATAATCCTATGAATAGTTCTGGGGGTATTCATTTCCAGTCTTTTAAATTCTTTTCTATACATAATTGGAAATGCAAATAAATAAACAAACAGAAGATACCCATATAAATAAGGGTGAGAGCAAAGTCAGAAATTCAAGTGGATTTAGAAGACAAGACACGGTCATCCCTTCCTCTAAAGAGTAGGGGTAATCATGATGTCATGGGGCAGGTGGTGGTGAGAGCAGAGAGTAGGTCAGTACCTGGTAGAGGACAACATTCACTACTGATCACAATGCATGAAACAAACATCAGTCTGGAGCTTGGTAAGTGCCAGGCATGATTCTAATCACCTTCTCTCTATTAACTCACTTAAACTTCCCAACAACCCTGCCACTAAGGTGTTATTATTATCCTCATTGACACTGGAGGGTATGTTAGGTAACTTGCCCAAGGCGGGAGCTGGGATTCAAATGCACGAAATCTGTTTACAGTGTCCTTGCTCTTAAAAGCTATGCAATTATTTTATTATTTTCTTTATTATAATTATGAATCTGGACTCCCCACAGGACTCCCAACACCTTGACCATTAAAAGGAGCCCATTTGGCACAGCCGTGGAGAATTCACCACACTTGCAATCATTTATTGACTTAAAAGCATGTTCCTTTGAAACTGAAATCTGAGTGTCATTCATCACTATTCACTGGTGTTATAGCCTGTCAGTACCTTTTCTTCTTTCCACTTTTCTTTCAGAACACAATAAATTATATTCAAATGGAAGTCATGGAGGAAACTTCCCTTTCCTTCCTCATCCACAAAGCTGATCAATGGGCGCTAAAGCCCCGGGGAAGCAGCATCTGTTGTAACTCAAGGATTCCCCACTCGAGTCGAGGATGAAATTAACAGACGTGGAGCAGTTTGCAGCTCAACATTTGTTCAAGTCTGACACATGCACACATCATTAGCAACTATATTTGAGGAGCAAGATCAAGGAGGTGAGGAGGAGAGTGGAACTGATTAAAGGGATATTCAAGAAAGAGGAAATTCAGAGCATTTAGGTAAAGCTTCATAGCTAAAATAAATGAACTGGAGAGCAGAGCAAACAGTCAGGGACACTGGATAATTTCGCCTCTGCAATGTCCCAAACAAAGTCATTTCATGCAGTGAATTCCCCAGAGTGGCCGCCCCTCTTACCTCAGCTCCATGGGCTGTCTCTCCATTAAAATTCGAGGGCAAAGATTTTGCTGGTCCTGTTCACTTCTGTAATCTGGACTCATAGTAGATAAAATTAAATATTCATGGAATAAGTTAATGTGTACTTGCTCAAAGCTTGCCTTGACCTGAGCTAAGCAAGTAAGGTCTGAGATGTTCAGCAGGAATCAAAAGCAATATGCATGCTGAAAGAATGGCATCTTCTAACTAAAACCGGTGGTTAATTATAGTGTACAGAATTAGTGGTGAAATCTTATTGGAATGCCTCTCATGTGCTCACTGTTACTCTAGGCCACGGCAGAGATACAATAGAAGCACAATCACAAGGAACAGTGAACGTTTGCCGAGGGCTTAATTTGGCCAGGCATATGCCAACGTGTCGAATTCTCACAGCACCACCTGCAGGGCAGGTAGGTAGGTTTAAAGGTGATCATCTCCATCAGGCAATTTTGTGATGTGCCCAGGGTCCTACAGAGAGTAAATGGTGGGGCTGGGAGTCCCTCTGCTATGCACTTCACAGCCAGTCTCTGTGGTCCTTTAGGAATTTGCCCTTAATCTGAGGACACAAAAGGGACACATATGAACAATTAAGTCTTTTTTTAAAAAAGATTTATTTATTTTAGAGAGAGAGAGCGAGAGCATTGAGGGGGAGGGGCAGCGGGAGAGGGAGAGAAAGAATCTCAAGCTGACTTTCAGCTGAGTGCAGAGCCCAACACAAGGCTCGATCCCACAACCCTGAGATCATGACCTGAGCTGAAATCAAGAGTCCGACACTCCACTAACTGAGCCACCCCAGGCACCTCTGAAGGATTAAGTCTTAAACTTCTGTGGCCCTGACAATAAAAAGCAGAGGAGTCAGTGTGGACTTCGACACAGAGCTCCTGGAAGGAGGCTGTCCTGAATCTGTCTTTCATTTTTCATCATAGGTTTGTTTGTACACCCCTCTCTCCCTCCCCCATCTACTCCTCCACTCCTCCTCCCTCCCACCCACCTTGCAAACAGTTACTGAACTCCAGCTATGCTGAAGTGGATTTTGTGCTGACGTCGTCGTATTTTAGCCACGTGTGCTTCTCGGCTTGAGAGGACCAAGGTTAAACCACACACACACTCCGGCAAAGGGGCTCCCCCAGGAAGGACAGTTAGGTGCTGTCTGTCAAAACTGAGAATGCTTACACCCTTGACTAGCGATCTGACCTGCTAGAATGTAGCCACGGGGACATGCCCCATGCCAGTTAGTCTCCGCAGTGCTGTTTGTGATGACCAAGGATTAGAAATAGCTGAATGTTCATCAAAAAGGAACTGCTTTAAAAAAAAAAAAAAGCTGATTGTACTCCCACAGAGATTACGAAGCAGCTAGAAAGAGGAGTGAAGAGGAGGGATGAGTATATCTTTAAGACATTTAAGTGAAAAAAGCAAGGAGCATATGTATAGTAAGTAGGCGACCATTTGGGTAAAAGGTGGGAAATATAAACATTCTTGGTAAGACAGCTATAAAATATCTCTGGAAGGATACACCAGACACTGATGACATCTGTGGGTTTCAGGGGAGGGAGGAGGGAGTTGAATGGCAAGAGGAGCGGGAGGGATTTTTATGAAATACCCTTTTGTAAGTGTTGAATTTTGAACCTGGTACATGTATTATCTATAGTCCCCTCCAAAAATTAAAAAAACAAAACAAAACAACAACTCATGTACACAGACCAAGTACTAGTGGTATATCTATGAGTCCTGGAGTTTTAATTTTGGTCCCCAAATCTCTCTAGGCTCTCAGAAGGGAATCCTTCATGCCAGGATGGGTTGGCATCTGGCATTCTCACTGTCTGACTCATACCTGAAGTGCTGTGACATTTGGTGTCTGTCCTTAGCTGGACCAGATACCATCCCCAAGGTCCCCTTCCTTAGCGAGGGAGCTTCTCCCCTGACCTGGTGTTTGTAGTTTGGAAGAAGGTGGTCATGGAGAAAGTGACATCTGTGCAGAACTTGAAGTAGGTGAAGGAATGAGCCCTGAGGGCATCCAGGAGAAGGGAATTCCAGAAATACAGAACAGCAAGTTCAAAGAATCTGAGGCAGAAAGAGTACCTGGCCTCGTGGCAGATGTGCCAAGGAAGGAGTACATAAAAGGCAGAGAAGAGACCAAAACAAAGGAGTAGTCTGCAGTTTGTGTGGGGGTGAGGGCGGTGTGGGTCGTAGAGGGCCTCCCACCCTTTCCTTGAGATTCCACATCCAGACATCTGCTCTATTTGTTGACTCTGATCTCACGTCCCAGGTCTACGAACTGGCCTGTTCCTGGGTCCCTGACACCAAGTTCCTGCCCTGCACTCAGATTTGCTGTTGGTGCCCTGGCCCCAAGCCTTGTCTCTGTAACTAGCTCCATGGCCCAGTCTCTCCCAGCTGCCACCAAGGAACGGGGACCTGAATTCCCGTCTGAGCTGGAGAGTGCTGACATTTCAGTCCATGCAGGGACCACAGGCATATGAGGGGGAGAGACAGGAGCAAGGAATCTATCTTTCCTGTGTTCACTGGTCTTCCTGGTACTTCAAAAATGGCACACCTTTTCCTCAGGTGCCTTTGAGCTTGTGAGTCCTCATCCCCAAACACTCTTCCCCTATTTTGTATGACTAACTTGCTCTCTTGTTTCACTCAGAAAATGAGTGGTCCTCAAATGTCCTCCTCGGAGAGGCCTTCCCTGACCTCCTCTGCCACCATAAGATGGCTGCCTCCTCTGTCCCTCTATCTCCTTACCCAAATGAATGTCTTCACCACATATATGGATGTGTTTATTCTCTATCTCTCCCTTGTTGAATATGAGCTTGAGGAGAGTAAGGACTTTATCTAGAATCCCAACAACGGCAGGTGGTTGGGCCTCCTGGAACTTGTCTTGGTGAGTGAGTCTGGTTCCAGATTTTGGTCCCTCCAAGTCATCTGAGTTCCCCTGGAGAACCGGACTCTGCCTGTGGTGGGATGGAGAGTCCTAGGAATTAGGAGGAGAAGCATGATTGAATAGAATGGCATTATGTACAGGCACTGTGCATGGTGTCAGGAACACCATGCCCTGCCTGTTCCCCATCCTGAAGCAGAGGGTTGCAGAGGCAGGGGCAGCATTCACCAACATTTTACAGGGAAAAAAATATAGGGTTCTTTTACTTATTACTCAGAGTTGTATTTCTTTTGGTCTTATTGGAGCTTGAAGATGAGCGTAAAGCACTCATAATTTTAAGGTTCACAATTGTTGTAAGGTGGCAATCCACTTTTGCTCTTACTGATTCTTCATTCTTTTTTTTTTTTTAAAGATTTTATTTATTTATTTGACAGAGAGAGAGATAGCAAGAGCAGGAACATAAGCAGGGGGAGTGGGAGAGGGAGAAGCAGGCTTCCCGCTAAGGAGGGAGCCCGATGCGGGGCTCGATCCCAGGACTCTGGGACCATGACCTGAGCTGAAGGCAGACACTTAACAACTGAGCCACCCAGGCGGCCCTGATTCTTCATTCTTGAGAAGCAGCTTTGACACCAGTAGACTGGGTTTCAAATTCTGGCTCTGACACATGGTGACTTTGGGCAAATTAAACTTTTCTGAGCCCATTTCCTCACCTAACACAGGGTAGGGGGAGTGAGAATGGGGACAATATTTACATCCCACCATTGGCAGGTTGTAAAACATGGAGTATAGTCTTTGATGCATAGTCAATGCTTAATTAATGTTCAATCATTTCCTCCTTCCTCAGCCCTTCTCCACATCAGCCACCATGAAAGTTCTTTTCTTTTTTTTTTAGGATTTTTATTTGTTTATTTGAGAGAGAGAGAATGAGAGATAGAGAGCGCGAGAGAGAAGAGGGTCAGAGGGAGAAGCAGACTCCCCGCCGAGCAGGGAGCCCGATGCAGGACTCGATCCCGGGACTCCAGGATCATGACCTGAGCCAAAGGCAGTCGCTTAACCAACTGAGCCACCCAGGCGCCCATGAAAGTTCTTTTCCATGTACTCAGTAGTCCAAGAGATTAATACTTGCCTGTAAGCTCTGAGGACTGAGAAGAAGCAGCACATGATCTTTGAGTTCATCATTCATTATGCCCTTTGATGTTCAATGTCCTGGTCCCAGGTCTGACATCTATAAGAGCTGATCAGGTAAAAAAAATTTTTTGATGGTGGGGTCAGTCTACATTAAAGTCATATTTTCACAAATGCACAGGTATGTTAGGGTATAGGCTTAGCTGATAAAACAAAATACCGCCAAATACAGTAGCTTAAGTATGATGGGAGCTTGTGTCTTTCTTATACAATAATTTGGAAATAGGTGGTAAGTTTAGGGTTAGTGGCTCTGAGCTAGGAAGACATCCAGAAACCCAGGTTCCATCTCTCTCATTGCTCTGCTATACCCTCAGGTGGTATTTTGTCCGCGTGATGAAAGCTAGAGCAACACCACTCTATCCACATTCCAGTCCAAAGGGAGGAGGAGGAAGAGGGGGTCAGGAACTGTCATTTCCTTTTAGGGAAGTTGCTAATTCCGTTGGCACAAACTTAATCATATGGCCATGCCTGGCCTCGAGGGTGCTTAGGAGATTTTATTTCTCCCTCTGTGGGTATAGGCTCTGCTAATACTTGGTAACTGGGGGTCTATTGCTAAAAGGAACAAGAAGAAAGTGGATATGGGGGGGACAGTAATATCCTCAACACTCCTGGTGTGAAGGGAACCAGGTGAGAGTGTGTCTGACTGGCTTGGGGTGAGTCCATGCCCACCGAAGAGCAGCTGCTGACAGGTGCTAGAGCTTCCTTCTTACCTGCAGATAGTGGACATTTATTTATTTATTTATAAATTTTATTTATTTATAAATTTATTTATTTATAAATTTTATTTATTTATAAATTTATTCATTTATAAATTTTATTTATTTATAAATTTATTTATTTATTTTTGTTTTTATTTAATTCTAATTTTTTTAACTTCTTTTTGTAGATAGTGGCTTTTAAGTAAATGGTGAGTATACATCTTCCCCTGCCCGTTAAAAAAAATGGATATCCAACAAAACCAAAGGTAGGCAAGTTCATGCCCATAACTGTATTTTTAATGGTTTCATACCATCCGGATCAGTCCTGGCTGTTTTCGAACTCAACCGAAGGGTTTTTGTTGTTGTTGTTGTTGTTGTTGTTTTGAAACTCAGAGCCAAGGTTTTACTTCAGCTCCTAGGAGTTTGGTGCCCCGTGATAATCATTAGGGTCAGCGCAGAAACTGAGAGCTGGTGTGGCCCACGGTCATGCAGGAAGCTGGGTGGTCACGGGCATAGCATCTCAACTGGAGTGTCGGGACTTGGGACTTATAACTTCACTTACCTCAGCATCCGTGCTTTGGTTTCTGTTTCTGTTAACAAGGGCCAGAAGAAGCAGCATGCCGTAGTATTTTGGG